TTCTCACTTTCCCTCTCTCTCTTTCACTGTCTCTCTCTGATCAAACTGGAAAATAATAACAATAAATAAAGATAAGTAAAATAATTATTATTTTTTTTAAAGTCAACTGGGAGAAGGTATTTTGCAAAAGATTTAATATTAATAATATACAGGCTGATTATTCAAAATGGATTTTTTGGACTATTTTCAGATGTTGGAATATTTGCATATAGATAATGAGATATCTTGAGGATGGCACCCAAGTCTAAACATGAAATTCGTTTGTTTCATATACACTTTATACATGTAGCCTGAAAGTAATTTTATATAATATCTCTGTATTTATGGCATCTTGACTTTGACATGAGGGCAGGTGTGGAATTTTCCACTTGCAGAGTTATAACTATGCTTAAAAAGTTTCAGATCGCAGAGCTTTTCAGATCAGAGATGCTCAACCTGTATGTATTCTTTATTCGTTTCAAGAGATGAGGTCTTGCCGTGCTGTTCAGGCTGGCCTTGAACTAGCAATCCTCCTACCTCAGGCTCCCGAATAGCTGGGACTGTAGGCCTTCAACCTGTATGTATACATTTTAAAATATCTAACCACTCTGTGGAAGAGTGGCTCTTCACAAGAGGGAGAAAGCTCAGTAGCCGGTAAACACAAAGTTCCCGCACAACTTCAGGGTACACAGTTGGAACGATGCAAGAGATCTCGCACCTGCGTGACAAATGTTAGAAAATGACAGAGGCAGGAGGAGGAAGAGCGCTGGGGTTAGGGTTGCACGTTGTTTCATCCTCTGGCGAAAAAAGACATTTAAAAAAACCTAGCAGTGATGAAATATCGTAAACTGTGAGCCCACACATCCCCCAAAGAGGCACAGTCCCCCGAGAACTTCTGGACCTGGGTTTGGGAGATGGAATCGGAGTAGTTGCTACAGCAAGGCTGCTAGTAGCAGAGGTTGGGAAGATCCTTAGTATCCACAGACAGGGGAAAGGGTAAGACATACTACAGAGACCTGCATGAAACAAAGCGGATGAATCTTCCCAACAAAAAAGCCAATCGCAGAAGGATACATAATATGTCAGTTATACTTATAGTAAAACAAAAATGCATGTAAATGACAAATACCCGGTCAGAATAGTGGTTACCCAAGAGGGAAATGGGATTCTTCAAAGCAGGTGTTAGCTCTTGGATAAGAGGGTAGGAATGGGTGCCTGGGGTGTCTTACCTGGATTTGGATACCGTATTTCTCTGGGGGAGAGGTCATTGTCATGTCATTTTTGGTATCTTTTGTATGTCTGAAATTGAATACATTGTTAAGTGTTTAAAAGAGAGGACAGGGCCAGCCAAGTGGCGTGGTGGTTAAGGCAGCTGGACCATATGACCAAGTGTACACGGTTCGAGTCCCAACCTGGCAGCTTGGAAAATACACTGGGGGGGACCAGCAGTTAGCGTAATGGCTATATCACTGGACTCCCACGTAGTCGACCGCGGTTCGCGTCCCGGACCTGGGGGCTTAAACTCACGCTGGGCGCGTGTGCGTGCGTGTCCAAGATCCCGAGAGGAGAGTGGAGGAGAAGGGATTGCGGCGTGGCCATCCCCTCTGGGGGGTGATTTCAACTATAAAATAAAAGAGAAGACTGAAGAGGAGAACGGACGGGAACAGGCCCACCTGCCTCCGTTGTGTCTGTGTGGGCCCGCACACGGCCTGCTAAGTCTCAGCGTTGCCGACTCCGTAACTACATGCTGACATCTGGGTGGTGTGCGGGGCACCAGAGCCCTCTACACGTCCTGTCCCTACCACTTCTCCCCCATTGCACGTGCCCAAAGGAGTGCTTGGATTGGGATCCTTTGTCTTTCTCATCTCGCTGCAAGGCACACTGTGAGTCGGGGTGTGGAGAGAGCATGTTGTGAGTGCACCATGCTCCAGCATGGCTGGAAGGCCCGGCTCTCGGCTCTCCATCGCTGCAGTGGCCAAGTGCCTTGAGAGTAAAGGGGCGGCGGCGCTTCCCTCTCGTCTCCGTTCCTGCTTACCCATAGAGGACAGGGAAGCCCGGCCTCGGCTGCGGCTCTTCACCTGCCTGTCCCTTGTCCTCTGCCTCCTGGCGATGCTTCGTGATAGTTTCCAGTTCCGAGAGGGCAGGGGCCTGGAGGTGGTGTTCCACGGAGATGGCTCGCAGAGGTCAGAGCTCTGGTCAGCCTGCGGCAGACGGGCTCCCCTGAGCTGAATCCTCAGCACGCTCTGCACGTAGGCCTAACCTCGGCTTGGCCGTTTTGGGGCCCTCTCTTCTCTCACCTTCAGCCCCAGCTCAGCCAGGCAGGGACCTTGCTGGTCATCAGAGGGCAGAGCACAGGAGTGGGGCTGAGGCAGAGAGGATGACGGTTACGAGGCTGCTGTTCGGAAGCACACTGGCGGGGCAGGGTTTGGGAAATGAATTTCTCCATGGTTTTGTGTAGTTCGGTAATTTCCTGGAAGTATAGGTAGCCTAGGCCAGGTGGGAGGCACCCCCTAGTCTGTTAGGGTTCACCCTCATTTCCTTTCGCACCAGGAATGTGTTTTCTTCTGGAGCAGGGCTGTGACAGGCTCCCTGTGGTGGGGCAGCCTAAAAGGTAAAGCAAGGGGTTTTCGCCATGGATACACCTTAGCCGTGCCAGGGGCCTTGGCAGGGAACTGGCCATGGTCCGTAAGCTCCTGCTTTTAGAGCAGACTGTAAAGGGAGGTGAACTCCAAGTGTGGGCTGTTTTCTGGCTGTCAGGGACACGAAGTCCTGTGTCCACTTCGACTCAGGATGCTCTGCTGTGGCTGGTCAGCATGGAGAAACCAGTGTCATTCAGCGAGGAGTACAGTTGACTATCAGAGGGGTCTTAGAAAGTTCATGGAAATGCATATTAAAAGCTATGCCTGGATCTCAAAGTTTATTTTTTGTTTTTTAATTTGCCAGAGGGTGCATGTGCTCACAAGAGAGAGACAAAGGAAAGGGAGAAATCACTCGCTAAGGAGGTGTGGTCACTGTGCAGTCCCTTCCCCTCCATCTCTCCAATGTGTTTTTAAGCTGCTGGGGCTGGGATTTGAACTGTGCATTTGGCCATGTGGGATCTGGTTCCCTTAATCACTAGGCCATTGGGCTGTCCCAGGTTCAGGTGGGTTTTTTGCACCAAAATGAATTTATCCTTTTTTTTATTTTAGCGGGGGTTTTTTTGTTGTTGTTTTAGAGGTTTTGACCCATGACACATGCACTCTGCAGGGAGAGAGAGAAAGAGACAGAGACAGTGAGAGGGAAAGTGATAAATCACCCCCTGAAGGGTTGGCCACGCCACAATCCTTTTTCCTCCGTTCTCCTCCCAGGATCTTGGGCATGCACGCACACGTGCCCGGTATGAATTTCAAGCCCCTGGGTTCAGGAATCAAATCGTAGTCAGTCACGTGAGAGTCCAGTGACATAACCGCTATGCCATCTGCTGGCTCCAGTGAACTTATTCTTAATTCCATTTTCCAAAACCCTTTTTGAAGTCCCCTTATTGGTTAATATTGGTTGGAAAATTGCCTCCTATTTTTGTGTTTCCTATAAGAAAAGCTTATTTAACTCACACCCTTTTGCTATAAGAACAAAATCCACCTGCGCTCTGGGTGCCCAGCACAGAACGTAAGTGATGTCTGGTGGTGATGCTGCCGGAGCTCACTCCCAGTCCCATGGTCTTCATTTTCTCTTTAGGATCTTCTTTCAGTGGGCCCTATCTTTTTTTTTTTTTTAAAGAATTATTTATTTTTTATTTCCATGTATTATTTTTTTTAAATAATTATTTTACTTAACTTTATTTATTTTTATTTTCGCCAGAGAGGGACAGAGAGAGAGAGAAAGCGAGCCACCAGGTCCGGGACTTGAACCGTGGTCGGCCATGTGGAAGTCCAGCACCCTTAAACCACCATGCCACCTGCCGACCTCATATTATTATTATTATTATTAATGATTATTATTATTATTATTATTATTTAGAGGTTTTTGCTATAGGGAGCGTGTGCTCGACAGAGACAGAGTTAGAAAGCGAGAAATCACCCCCCAGGGGTATGCCCATGCGGCAATCCCTTCTCTATTCTCCTGTAGAGATCTTGGGCATGTACTCAGGCACATGCGCCCGGCGTGAGTTTAAGCCACCGGGTCCGGGACTTGAACCGCAGTCGGCTACATGGGAGTCCAGCGACATAGCCATTACGCTAACTGCTGGTCCCCATATTATTATTTTTTAACTTGACCAGAGAGAGCTAGAGAAAGGGAGAAAGCAAGCCGCTAGGTCTGGGACTCGAACTGCAGTTGGCCATGTGGGAGTCCAGCACCTTTAGTCACCATGCCACCTGCTGGCCCCTATCTGCTGTAATATTCTTTTCTGCTACATTGCCACTTGCCACTGTTCCTACTTCTCCTTAAGCTGATAACTTTGACTTAAATGCATTGTACTGTCCATTACCCTGGTTAAGGGTGGCAAACGGGTCACACCTCTTGCTCCATCTCTGATGCAGTAGTTATGGCTGCCCGGATTCCGAGGCTAGTCTAAGCTCAGCAGGCATGAATCTGGATTGAGTAACAGTGTCTGTTAACACCACCGGGATAGGGCTTGGGGCACTCCTGCCTGAAATGTTGATTATGGGGTTAAAAAATAAGAAAGGTTTTAATATTTCAGGTATGAGTGGTACTTGTCTGTCGATGATCAGATTACAGAGCATTTTCATGCATTTTTTTAACACTTTGTTTTCTACATTTTTTACAGTGAACAGTTATTACTTTAATAAGTAGGAAGTAACAGTATTATTTTGAAAAGAAACTCTTACCTGAATGAAATCAGTGACTCGCTCACTAATGCTCTGTAGGTCTTGGTTCTATGTTGCAGTATAGCTGGTGGGGGCCTGGTGTGCTCACTGCCCTTTCCTTTCCTGTTCTCTGAAAAACGCTTTGACCCTGGCCATTGCTCTTGCCGAGAGGTACAAATGGACCGACTGGTTCGTTTCTTGTCTTCTGCTCGGCAGGTCGAGGCGGTGCGTCTATCTATGGCAAGCAGTTTGAAGACGAGCTTCACCCAGACTTGAAATTCACAGGTGAGTGCGGAATCTGCCCGGATGGGGTAGGAAGGGGGAAGTGCACTTTAAAAGCTCACTCTTGTGGTGAGTGTCTGACACGGGCATGGTGCCAGGTACTGCCCAGCCATGGCGCCACTGAGAGCCTGGCAGATTAGAGAAAGCGGCGCCTCTCCCGCAGTCCCAAGTGGCTCCGGGTGCGGGGCTGAGTGTGCCCCAGTCTGACTCCTTGTTGAGTGTCAGAAACTGTAAGATACCAACTGCTTCTTCCACAGAGACCTTGCTGGGCTGTAAGGGGAGTCAGGGACACAGTCTAGCGGTTAGCCGGTCGAGCTGGGGAGTCGTGTGGACGGGGAAGAGGAGGTCACCAGGACAGCGTGGGGATGCTGGTGGCAGAGGTCAGAACAGAGCCCTGGCCCCTCAGCTCTGTGCTGGGCCGTGAGTCATTCATACTCTTCTCTCCCTCCTTTCTTCCCACCAGGGGCTGGAATTCTCGCGATGGCCAACGCTGGGCCTGACACCAACGGCAGCCAGTTTTTTGTGACCCTCGCCCCCACCCAGTGGCTCGACGGCAAACATACCATTTTTGGCCGAGTGTGTCAGGGTATAGGAATGGTGAATCGAGTGGGCATGGTGGAAACCAACTCTCAGGACCGTCCCGTGGACGACGTGAAGATCATCAAGGCGTACCCTTCCGGGTAGATATGCCGCCCTCGTGGGCATCCCAGGTCTGCCAGGACAGCCTCCGCGAGCCGGCTTCCGGATGGCCTGCAGTTCCATGTGCCTGTCAGCTCCACTTGGACCTTGCAGATCATGGCCGGTCAAAGGGGAAGGAAGCTGGGGTCTTGGGTGAGTTAGAGATGGAGCGTATGTTAATAGGATGCTGCTTTTCTCTCCTCCCATGCCTAGCTGGACAGGCTACATGCAGAAATGCCCATAGTGTTTATTCACGGGTCACTGCCCCCACGAAGGACCCCTACTGCCCTCCTTGTGTGTGTGTGCTCCGACACACTTGGAAGAAATGAAGCAGACACTGTCGTTTCACAGTGTCCGGCCACACTCCTTCCGGGGGCATTGGTATTCCGGCCTACACTGCAGCCTCTGGTGGCCGACGGTCACAGAATTTGAAACCCACTGGTGTCCCTTAGCTCGGTTGTACAGGCTTTGTCTCCTGCACTGGCTCTTCCAGGGACGTATGCCTCTCTCCCCCTCAGAACCAGCACATCAGCACTGCTGTTTCTGACACTTAGACATCCCACGCAAAGTCACATTGAATTTTTGCCAAATAAAAACGCATCCAACAATCAAGTTTCCAAGAAGGTGTCAAGTGGGGAATGATAATGTGTAATAATCGAGAAATGAATTTATTAAAAGGAGGCAGAAGCATTGACCATTTTATTCCCAGGAAGAAGAAGAAATCTGTACCGAGCACAAGAACAGACTATGAGCTTGCCTTTAAAAGGAGAAGCACAAACCTGAGTTTTTTGGTTTTGTTTTTGTTTTTTCAGAGAGATTTTTGCTATAGGGCGTGTGTGCTCTCCAGAGAGACAGAGAAAGACGCAGGCAGAAAGCAAGAAATCACTCCCTGGGGGAGATGACCACACCACTATCCTCCCTCCTCAACTCTCCTCCTGGGATTTTGGGCAGGAAACACGCACACCCAGCGTGAGTTTCAAGCCGCCAGGTCCAGGATTTGAACTGTGGTCGACAATGTGGGAGTCCAGTGACAAAACCGTTACACCATCTGCTGGTCTCCCACCTGAATTTTTTAAACCTAAAACATAAGAGAACTTAGATAAAAGATTTTTAAGTTTATGTGGTTTTTTTAATTTTTCTGCATTTGGGGGGAGGAATGGGGTTGAAAGGAGTTAATACCTATGTGGTACATAAAAACTTTCGAAATAAAAATGTCCGAAATAAAATGGCATTGATGGTGGTATCACATCATCGCTGTAGTCTGATTTTTAAATATTGCATACATTCTAACAGCCTTTTTTTTTTTTTTTTTTTTTTAAGTTTTGCTGTAATCACATGCGCTCCCCAGAGAGACATGGGGAGAGAGAGTGAGAAATTATCCTCCAGGGGGAATGACCATGCCCCCAGTCCCTTCTCTTCCATTCTCCTTTTGGGATTTTGGACACGCATGCACATGCAGCTGGCATGACTTGCAAGCTACCGGGTCCGGGATTCAAACCTCATAGTCAGCCATGTGGGATCCAGTGTTTTAGCCTCCACACCACCTGCTGGCCCTCTAACAGCCATTTTCATCTCAACCATTTCAAGTATTTCAGAATGCCTAGCTTCACGATTTCATATCATTTTAGATTTGTGGATCTCAAGTGGATCTCCCCCTCTTAAAAGGCAGAACCGAAGAAAGAAGTTAGGCGGTACCAGTTGGCGTGTCCGAGTGAGGGTGGGCTGCCTGGAGTGGCCCAGGTGGATGTGCTGAGAGACCTGCGCTGTCCCTGGAGAACTGCAGGAGGCGCACGTGCGCGTTGTCATGGCACAGAAGCAACACGAGTCGTGGCGTTTGCTTCCTTAAAGCGGTAGCCCCTTGAAGAGGGAGTATGACTTTAACTCTGCCACCCGTACATTTCGGAAATGGTGATTTACCTGATGGCATGGCCAGACAAGGCTCTGTTCCCCAAGCCTCCCCCCACCTGCAACCTCTTTTCTCCACCTCTTTCCTCTCAACAACAAAAAAGCAAAACCCCAAAACAAAGTATGGAAATAACTTTGCAACTTCCAAAAGCTGATTTTCATGGGCAAAGTAATGGTCTACACTCTGGGCAGATAGAAATATATTTGTTTCATCCTGCACTGGGTAGACATCATCCATCGGTAGCCTCCCAGAATTATAATCCTGGAACCTCCACTGTCGTCCAGGGCTGGGAGCGGTGGAGACCGATCGCTGCTGCATTGAAGCCAGGATGATCTGCATACCTTGAGGGAGAGAACAGCAGAGGCAGTGACGTGTGTGCGCACATGCCAGTTCTCTTTTTTCAAAGAATTATTTATTTATTTAAATTTGGCCATAGAGGGACTGAGAGAGGGAAAGGGAGAGAGCAAGTCACCAGGTCCAGTACTCAAACCATGGTTGGCCAGGTGGGAGTCCAGCGCCCTCAGCTACCATGCCACCTGTCAGCCCTGCACCTGCCAGTTTTCATAAAGGATGTGACCCCAGTGAGTGAACCCTGAATTGTTTCACAATTGCTAGTGACTGCTGGGTCAGCCAGAGATGCAGAAATTCCTGTTTCCACGGGAGGGAATCCCGCTTCAAAGCCTCCCATTGAATTATTCTGTCATGAGTACCCACACCCTCTCAGTGTAAGTGCCATTAGGACAAGTCTCTTAAAACTGGAGTGTGCTCGTGCAAAATAACTAACTTCAGTCACATCTCAGCCGGGTAGAGGTGTGGGTAGCTATGAGAAGGGAAGGGTGAATTGATACCTTGAGCCGACATGAATGAGGTGTGGGACTGGAGGGGGTGCATCAGAAGACAGGAAGTAGACAGCTTTGGTGGGCGCGGAGGGAGACTCCAGAGAGACTTTTTCGGAGGAGAAGGTGAAGGTGGGAGTAGATGAGCCACAGAAGGCCTCCTGGGTAAGAGGAGTTTGGCACCCAGACTTCAGAGTCTAGCCCCCCAAGAGCCCTAGCCCAGGGCTTCTCACACTTCACCACACATCTGTTTCTGTGGCACTTTTAGAGTTTTTAAAGTCAAAAAATGTTTTAAGCTTTGAAAATGGGTGGTTTAGGTATTAAAAAGGAAAAAAAAAAAAAACTAAATAAAAAAGACACTAAGGAGCTCAGGGAGCCTGTTAGAGAGCCGCTTCTGATTCAGAATCCGCCAGAAAGCCTCTTTTTCTTTATTTTTGATTTTTGCCACAGGCCATGCGTGTTCACTAGGGGAAGAGAGAAGATGAGAAGTCATCCCCCCCATGGGGCACAGTCCTGCCGCAGATCCTCCTCCGTTTCTCCCTTTTGTCAGGATTTTGGGCCCGCCTGCGCACACACCATGTCCTCTTCAAGCCCCCAGGTCCAGGATTCAGATTGCACGGTTGGCCACGTGAGATGTAGCCGTCTTAACCACCAGACCACTGGCTGGCCCACAGATCGCTGTTTCTTTCTTTTTTTCTCTTTTTTTTGGAGAGGTTTTCCACTCTAGGGTGCGTGCACTCGCCAGACAGACAGAGAGAGAGACAGAAAGCGAGAAATCACCCCCCAGGGGGGATGGTCACGCCACAATCCCTTCTCCATTCTCCTCTCAGGATCTTGGGCATGCACGCACACGCGCCCGGCGTGAATGTTAAGCCACCAGGTCCGGGACGCGAACCCTGGTCAACTACGTGGTAGTCCAGCGACATAGCTGTTACGCCAACTGCTGGTCCCTCTTTCTTTCTTTTTTTTTAAAAATTCATTAATTTATTGTAATTTGACCAGAGAGAAATACTGAGAGAGAGAGAGAGAGAGGGTAAGCCATCAGGTCCAGCCCTCCAACTGCAGGCGGCCATGTGGGAGTGTCCAGCGCTTTAACCACCATGCCACCTGCTGGTTCCCACAGATCGCTGTTTCTAACCAGCTCACGGGTGATGGTGATGCTGGTCCAGACACCCCACTTGGGTGAAGTCCTCGAGGTCACATTCATCCCACACATAATAAGGAGGGGGGTTGTCCTAAGAGCATGGGCCAGTCAGGGCCATAACTCCATCTTCGGCCCCCTAGACCAGGCCTCTCCCTCATCCCGGGAGCTTTGGGTTGAAAAGTCAAGCACAGGGTTGGCTTCCACGGCGCCTGGCTTTGGCTGCCGAGGTCGAGCCTTAAACAGCGCCCTTCTTCCCCCTTCAGTACACTGTTGATGTCAGGCCACGGTGTGCACTGAGGTCTCTGTGGTCACAGAGAATGCAGGGAAAGTGGCAGCAGCAATTACAGCAGCGACAAAGCTCTGGAACCAGACTGCAGGGGTTTGGCTCCCAGCTCCCCCAGTTACCAGTGGTGTGAGCCTCAACAAGGTTCTTAAGTTCACTCTAGTGTCCATAATTATAAAATGGAGATAATGGCCCAGCCTCATAGGGCTATTGTGAAGGTTAAATGAGCAAGAACGGGTGTTTAGAATGGGATCTGGCATTTAGAAAACACTCCAAAAATGCCAACTAACTGTCATTATCATGACCCTTGAAGCCACCATACACCTCCTGCCTCTTTATTTATTTATTTTTGGAGAGATTTTTGCTATAGGGCGCGTGCACTAGCCAGAAAGAGACAGAGAGACAGAAAGCGAGAAATCACCCCCCAGGGAGGATGGCCACGCCGTAATCCCTTCTCCATTCTCCTCTCAGAATTTTGGGCTTGCATATGCATGCGCCCGGCGTGAGTTTTAAGCCACTAGGTCCAGGACTCAACCCACGGCCTACTACGTGGGAATCCAGCGATGTAGCCATTATAGCATCTGCTGGTCCCCGCACCTCCTGCCTCTTCATTCCACATGTCAGCAGCCTGCCCTCATGCAGCCTGCCCTCTCACTGGCTAACCCCTGACAGCAAGGACCTTGCCTTAGGGCCTCCGTGAGTCTTCTCAGCACCCTGTGCAATCCTTTGAGGTGATTACCAAACCCATCGAGTGAGAAAACATTCTCCTTCAGAAAGATCGAGATCCATTTGCAGAAGTCGCTGTACCCCCAAGTCTCCAAACCCAGGCTTCAGCTCTTATGGCAACAAAGCCTTTCCACTGAGCCCTCTGGAAGTCTTCAGCCTGATTTATTTTTGGCTTTTGTCTCTAGAATATGTCAAAATAGCTTTCCCTGCACAAGGCAAACGATTCCTACTCTCAGATCCTCGAACCAATCTGAGCCATCGCTGTGGCCCTTTCGGCACCACATTCTTGCAACATGTGGAGGAGGAAGCACTGAAAAGCACATTTGCTACAGTGGTGGATTTACTGCCTACAAAGCACTTTCTGGCCTCAGCCCTGGTGCCTGTGGAGTGGGTTGGGTTACTACTTTTGAGGTAAATACAGGAGAGTGGATCTTCCAGCAGCTTTCTTTTCTAGATGAGAGAGAAGCACAGTTCCGGGGAAGAAGGCATGTTAGCGCCATCACTCTCAGGCTGACTCGGTCAGATTTAGAAATCCGGTCCCCCTTTGTTCTTGCAAACTGGTCATTTAAGATGCCTGACCACATCTGAGACCATGGGTGGCCAGTGGCTGGCAAGGCTTCTGGACGGGAATGTGAGGCCTTGGTAGAATCACTTACCTGTGGAACTGGGTGTCATTGACCAAGGGGAGATTTGAACTAGACCCCTTTCAGCTCTAAGTCTCTGAATCTAGGTCATTCTGAGAAGATTCCT